CTTTCTTGTTAGCAATTACTTCGGCGAGCCTGCTGTGGTATCTTCTACACTCATCTGCCATACCTCCAGTTGTAGTGAATACTAATGGCATAAAAGTCGCTTGTTCAACTTCCCAACTCTGCTAGCATACGTGCGCTTCTTCTCATCCTCATGCAGGTGGCATATTTGCTGGGGGGGACGTCTTTGTAGGACTCTGCATTTGGGTTACGCACCCTAACATTAGAGAATGCAGATCTCTGCCTTTCCCAAAAGCCACTTGCATGAACGTCAAGGCAAGCATCAGAAGCTTTATTAGAACCTCTGGTCAGGATTTCTCCTGTAACTTCTTGAAGTACTGGTTCTATTTCAACGTCATTGCAGACCATGCTCAACAGTTCTGCTTCAAGATCGCGCAGCTCGTTGTGGCGCTGAATAACAAATCCGCCACGTATACAGATCTTAGCATGGTACACACTAAACAAATCCCCGCACACACACACCGATGGGCTGTCAGTGATTTCCCAGTCGTATCTAAGTTTGATAGCATCTCTGAATTCTCTTTTATTCAAATCGAAGTCCATGTCCTTGATGGGGATTACCGTCAGCCAATTAGATTCGCCCTTTTCTTTAGCAAGCTCAGCAGCTCTCTTTGTCCTTCGGGGTAAGGAATTCTTCAAATTCTCTACCAACTCACGTAGATTTTCATCTTTCTCCTTACGTGCATTTTGCTGCAATTTTCTTATTGTAGTGTCATTTGGTGGTTTATGCGTTTGTGATATTATTTGTTCAGCRAGTGGAGCAGTTGTCTTGATTGACGTTGTGTACTCTGAGGCTGCGACCTGACTTAAGATCTAGTCTTAAAAGAATGTACCCTGGATATAAAGTAACGCAAGTCAACATAGTATTTGATTTTCTATCTGGGTATCACACGGATTTGATTAGTAAACTGGCTGATGTAGGCCTCACTGATGGTATAAAAATTGTAAGAAAGTGTCAGAAATGGGTTATTTCACAGAACTGTGAGATTGTGAAACGTCTGTACAATTGTTAAATTTGTATACATCTTTGTAAAACCAGTCATGCAGATATTTGCTTAGACTATACATGCCCGCAATATTCTGTATTCATGTAGCAAAAATGTCTGAAGTTGAAATAAACATATGATAATAAGATTACGCTTTGATTGGCCGATTGATAATCTTCCCTCCACATGTGTGTGCGGTCAGGTCTTTACAGTAGACCACGCTATGATTTACAAGCAAGGAGGGTTTATCGTTCCGCGCCACAATGAGTTGAAAGTCCTGGAAGCTGATTTCTTGAGTACGGTATGCAGTGATGTCGTAGTCGAACCTGTCCTCTAAGACAACTCCAGAGAACAGCTAAATAGAGGGTCGAATAAGTCACAAGATGCAAGATTAGACATCCATGCGCGTGGGTTCTGGGAGAACCAGCGGTCAGCATCCTTTGATGTGAGGGTCTGCCTCCCTAATGCTGACTTATATAGGGACCTAGAACCACTGCAAATCTATCCTTTGCACGAAAACGAGAAAAAGCGTCTTTACTCAAAGAGAGTTCACGATATTGAGCATGGATCACTCACACCTCTGGGGGGTGGAGGTCTGGAGGTCTTTGCTAGGATCCACGAGAGCCCGGTTGTACGAAGCCTGGATAGCGCTATCCGACGGATAATTCCTTATCTAGTGGATAAATTTATTGGATAACAGCATCGACTTATCCAATGAATAAGGATTTATCCGCCGGATAGTGCTATCCAGGCTTCGTACAACCGGGCCCTGGTGTTCACAACAACTGGCGGAATCAGTGGCAAAGGAATATTTGAGATACCATAGCCGACTAGCAGAGCTGATCGCCAACAAGAAAGGAGAACAGTACGCAACAACTATCTCGTGGATCCTAGCAAAGACCTCATTTGCAMTACAGTACTAAGATCGGCCCTCATATGTCTGAGGGGGTCAAGGACAAGAAGACGAGCTCCATGTGATRTAAAGAACTGTGATATTGACATTGAGACTATAGAAGTAGCAATTCGCTGGATTAAAATTTTAACATTCTTTTATATTTTAAATCTTTATATGATAGATTGTCTTGCCAGTTTTTTTTAAAAAGATGTTTATTAAGTATCGGGCAATAATAGTATAGTGATTTTAAATATATTGCCTTTTTTGCTTATATAATTTGCTTATTTATAAGATTTCATATTTACTAAAGTATCATGATAAAGATGATTATTTTGATGAATCATGATTGAGATATACTAT